AGCCCAGTCAGGATAACCACACTGCTCCAGGGCCTGTCGTGTGTGTGATTTCTCTTTCTCCCTGTATCAGGGAGTATCAGTCACATGGAAGCAGGGCTTAAAAGCCTGAATTTTGCCTGAAACTCTCAGATTGAAGAAGTCTCTTGGAGGAGAGACGAAACGTTTCATTAGAGAAGAACCCATCCAGAAGACATATACAATTTTTTTCTTTTTGAAAGGGCCAAACTGTTTTTAACTTCGTATTGATTTGTTGCATCAGGAAATTAGTGCAGCACTTAAAGCAAAAACAAACTGCAACATAATAACTGTTTAAATTATTATCTTGGTTTTATGCTGAAATCCTTTAGAGGACATAAAATTTTCAATTAAACACAGAGCCCGAGCACAAACAACGCATACATAAAACATTCAGGAAAATAACACAAATAATTTCCCAGACAGAACTGGTTCTGGTGCACTTAATTATAGACAGGAAAGCAGCGTTGTTTTGTAGATAATTGTATAATCTTTTATCACGATCGGGTAACTAATAAAGCTAATCTGAGCAGGAGAAACACGACAGCTGCTGCTTTATTAGTGCTGAAGTAATTAAAGGGTTAACTGTTTTTTTTTACAAGYTGCTAAATCACCTTTTAATGAAAACTGTTATCTGATACAACTTCATTATATCTCTGAAACCATATTTAATATTTCATATCATATTGGTGTGAAGGTAACTGTGTTAAATAGAACAGAGCACAAATATGAGAATTAGGATGACTTGTGGGAATGTGTTGGGTCATAATTACTTTTAGACAAGCTGATGATGTTCAAACTTCCGATTTTTACTTTTTCTTCTGGATTTCTGTGTAAAGTAATTACTAAGGTGAGTAAAGACTCACCTGATCCAAAACATCAGATGTACCCAGCACAGTAACGTTCATTAAATGAGCTAGAGCTCACCTTCTCTCCCAGAGCTCTGAGGCTGTCGAGGAAACGAGGCCAGAAGTCCTTGAAAAGTGGTCGGTCGATCTTCTTCAGACTATCTTTGGTGCTGGCGTCCACACTGACGTACAGCTGAGTCACTGGCACCAGGCTCCTGCAAACCAGAGATGAAAATGTGAGGAGGGTGACTCCAATTCAGGAAAAATAAAAAGACCCAAGACTGTTAAACAGCTAGAACCCTCCATCAAACAAGATCGGGACAACATTCCCTCCAAAAACTGGTCTCCTCAGTTCCTAAACTGCTRGTAAAAGAAAAGAAGATGCTACACAGTGGAAAAATTAATGGATAGATTGGTAGATGGGTAGATTGGTAGACTGGTAGATAGATGGGTAGATGGGTAGGTAGGTAGACAGATGGGTAGATTGGTAGGTAGACAGATGGGTAGATTGGTAGGTAGACAGATGGGTAGATTGGTAGGTAGATAGACGGGTAGATTGGTAAGTAGAAAGATGGGTAGATTGGTAGGTAGATAGATGAGTAGATTGGTAGGTAGATAGATGAGTAGATTGGTAGGTAGATAGATGGATAGATTGGTTGGTAGATAGACGGGTAGATTGGTAGGTAGATAGACGGGTAGATTGGTAGGTAGATAGACGGGTAGATTGGTAGGTAGATAGATGGGTAGATTGGTAGGTAGATAGATGGATAGATTGGTAGGTAGATAGACGGGTAGATTGGTTGGTAGATAGATGGGTAGATTGGTAAGTAGAACGATGGGTAGATTGGTAGGTAGATAGACGGGTAGATTGGTAGGTAGATAGACCCATAGATTGGTAGGTAGATAGACGGGTAGATTGGTAGGTAGATCGACAGGTAGATTGGTAGGTAATGGGTGTTGAGATGGATGGATGATGGATGGATGGATGGATGGATGCTGCACTAACATGAAAACATTCAAACCCTCCTTGCACCTCAGATTTATAAAATTTTTCTTTTTACTGAAAACAAATATTTTCTCACTCTTGTATCAAACATTCTGACATGTCTGGTTAAAATAAGAACACACTACAGAATGAGAAATCATGTCACAGTAACAGGATGAACACGTACCTGATTTCCTCTGGGAATTGAGCGTTGGTGACGAGGAAACTGGAGATGTGATGGCGGTGGAGGAGGCGGATAAAGGCATTGATTTCAGGATACATGATTGGCTCTCCCACTAAGGAGAGGGCACAGTGTCTCACCTCCAAACCTTCCTCGTACCGATCGGGTTTTACTCCGGGGACGCCTGGAGGAACAGAGGTCAGCAGCTGAGAGGGTAATAGATTTACTGTCAGTAGACTTAACTTAATAAAACTCTTTTTATAGGAAAATCTGTCTGGCAAAAACTTTACAGCTACAAACAACTTTTAATTAAACTGATAAACATTTATCGCCCCACACTGGAGCAGCAGAATTTAAATTAATTACAAATATTGAGCCAAAATTAAAGAATTAGTCCACAAAATACAGTTCATCACACCATGACTAGAATCACATTTTACATTTTCTAAATATTTTACTGGAAAAACTGTTCAAAAGAACTTCAAATCAACACCTCGGGTTTTTGAGAAAATAATTTCCAGCTTTTAACTGAGCTGTGACATTTAGCTCTGGGATGTTTGTTTTTTTTTTGAAAAAGTTTAAATCCATGCGGGGGAAAATTAACTCTGCAAGTAGGTCATATTTGGGTTGGTAGATGAGGAAGTTTTGGCATCGAGTCTGTGAAGCTCCTGCAGTCGGGGCGTGCTCGGAGGATGTTCAGTAATTCTGTTTTGACTGAGCGGTCGGACGCCAAGCTGCTGCACAACAACCAGACCAGCAGTTTCTCTGCAGCAGGTTCTGATAACATAACGCCAGTGGAGAGTAGATGTTTGAGACGAGGAATATAAACCGTGTGTGTTTAGAGGGGTGAAACGTGATTTATGAGGTACAGCTGGAACAACAGCAGCATTTTAATCTCCACTCTGCTTCATTACATTCAAGGTTACAAAAGGTCCAGAGCTGTAAACTGGAGAAGTGGTGTGTCGTGTCCACGTTTTAATACAGAAAAATAACACAAYAAACCAGCAGGATCAAATGTAAGAGTTTTATACATAAAAACACAGACCTTTGAACTGTCGTATCATATGCTGGTGTTTCTCTAAAGAATCCTGCAGGATTTTCTCAGCAGGGTCCATCTTCCAGCGCCACTCTGTGCCCACCGGGTTGGTGTGATGTCTGTAAGAGGAGCAGAAAACACTACTTTATTAGAAGCAATGGTTGTCTTAATTTATTGTGTTTCTTTCCCTCCATGGTTGGGTCACTGAAAGGTCCAAGAGGGAAACMAAGACCCCCCATTTTATGGCACAGTATGAGGACCAAAATTAAGACTATTGTACAATCAGTTGTTGCTACATCCTTGTAGCAGGAGGCTATATCTATTCCTAAGCTAGCTATTGATCTGATTAAAGACAAGCCGGCATGGCTAACTGAGAAGACTATTCATTTGAGTTAGCATCGGATAGGCTAGCAACTAGCATACATGGATAAGCTGGCATTAGCATTGGAGAGGCTAGCAACTAGCATGGATAAGCTGGCGTTGCATCGAAGAGGCTAGAGACTAGCATGGATAAGCTGGCATTAGCATAGACAAGCTGGTGTTAGCATCGAAGAGGCTAGGGACTAGCACGGATAAGCTGGCGTTAGCATCAGAGAGGCTTCTCTTAAAAACTTAAAATTGACAAAAGACGAAAAAACAAACTTCTTTTTGTACTTTTCAGTTTAAGGCAAATTATACTTAACTATTCTCTTCTTAAATATATCAAATATAGTTTATTTAAAAGTAAACTTCAAGTAGTTTAGTGTAAATTAAGTACACTCGTAATACACATAAWCTAGTCTTGCTAAGGGTAATGTTAGGTCTTCAAAGAGCCAGTGCAGAGGGACCAAAGCCGTAGGTTGCAGAACTGCAGTAACTCAGTAACTCATGAAAACTCTCATGTTTGAGTCCAACGCCTCAAACACTGACACTGTTCTTATAATAATCTACTTCCACCTGCTGAGACAGAGAAGCAGTGCAGTGAACTGGCTGATTTTCTGTCATCCTACATCCCAGCCTTCAGAGAGACGAGCGTATCTGTAGTGACGTGGAAGGGTTTCACCACATCACGGACCGACGGTGGCCTTTGAGTCTCAGCTGTGTCGCCTTTAATAAAAAAAACTGTCTGAATGAATCAGTGTTCAGATTCCTTCCAGTCGTTTCTGCTGGATGTTAGTTTTCTGTAAGTAAATGATTCTTTTGTCTCAGTCAGGCCGTCGATTGAGATACAGCGGGTAAAATAAGTATTGAACACGTCACCATTTTTCTCGGTAAATATATTACTAGAGGTACTAATGACATGAAA